CCCGCCCCCCCCGCGCCCGTAAATGCCGGCGGATCCGCACCCGCTCCGCTTTCTGCGGTGGATGCTCGTCTCGGGATGCTGCGGGACCGGCGCTCGGAGCGCTGTGCGGAGATCCGGATCGGGGGCAGCTACCGCCGCTGCGCGGTGTCCAACGCGTTCAGGTGGGATCGGGATCTGGGCTCGGGGATTCGGGTCCTGGTCCTGCGGGTGTCGGCTGTGGGATCCGGGCAGAGGTGCGGGTGCTGGGGCCGGAGGATCGAGGAGGGATTGGGGCTGGGATCGGGACCGGCACTACCGCCGGCGGGAAGAGCCGCTCCGGGATGGGTGCTGGGACCGAGCCCGGCGCTGCCGCTCCCGCTGCGGCGGGTGCGGGGCTGGGTCGCACCGGAGCTCCGGGCACGCTCCTGCTTATGGCCGTGGGGAGCCAGGGGATGCCGGTGCTGGGCCCGCCAGGAGGACGGTGCTTCCCTAGAGCAGACACTGGATCGCGGCTGGAAGAAGGCAGGGCGCGGGGATCGCCCGGCCCCGGGACCCACCGGCAGCGCCGCCCCCTCAGCGCCGCCTCCCGCCCCGCCCCCGGGATTCCCCCTGGCAGACCCGGGGCCGCCCCGCGGGGACACCGAGCCCCCGGCCCCGGTAACCCTGCGGCCACCGCGCTCGCTGCCCGCATCCCCGGGGAACCTCTGCCGAACGAGCGGGGCAGCCGCTCCGGGACGGCCGCTGGGACCGGCTCCAGCTGTGCCCGGTGTGGGACTGGAGGAGGCCAGGAGCCCCCGAAAGGTAGGCAGCACCTCGTGTCCTTGGGATCTGCAGGGGAGGAGCTGTGCCTGCAGCGTCCTGCCCGCGGCACGCAGCATTCCAAGCACACGGGCACCGGGGTACCTGGACAGCGCTGGCACGGACACGGCTAAAGGGCTGCCTGTGGCTCCTCGGCCAGGGCTGCTCTGAACAGGCACATGGAGATGCTTCAGCCCGGACAGAGACCACTGACAGCCCAGAAGGACCCGAGGAGCAGCTGGCACCATCTGGGAATGGAGGCACGGGGCCGTTTGCAGAGGGGCTCAGACAGCAATTCCTGATTCTGGCCTCCAAGAGTTCCCACACAGCTGCCAGGTATGTCTTGACCACCCCAAATCTCTTCCCTCCTTTCTTGTCCGAGGCCGCTGTCCATCAGCAGCATTTAAGCTAAGGCAATTTTCCCTCACAAATACTAAATCCCCAAGCAATAGGCGTTGGAGATGCCTTAAAATCAGAGGTTTGAGTTGGGATGAAGTTTGGAACTTTTCAGGGAGCCAGTTGGAAGTGCAGAAGTGGTGGAAGACTTTTGCAGGTGGGTCCCACCAGAGGTGTGCTCTGAAGGCAGGGATGTGCATCTCGCAAGGAGCTGTCAGGTTCTTCCAGCAGGAATTCAGCAGGGAATGAATGTGGGGCTGCGGGTATAATTCATCTGAACTAGCAGATACTGAACCCCAAATCCAGGCACCACATGCAGAACAATCTTTGTGCTGCCCTGTCAGCTAAAGCCTCTGGGCTGGGAAATTTCAGCAGCCTAGTGTATGGAATGATCTAAATCCCAGCAGCCAGCATACCCAGAGGGACAATCCACATCCCAGGGTGGCACCCTGTGTCCTTCCCCTGCTGCTGGTGGGACAAATTCCCCTCGGTAGAGTTGGGCCTGGCCGGGCAGGAGCTGGGAGCAGGAGGGGCGGGAGAGCGGATCGGGAAGCGCCGGGAGAGGAGGCCGCTGGAACGGGACCTGAACCAGCTGAAAACATTCTTTCCCTGCAGAAGCCAGGAGCTGAGGCACATCCCTCCTGGCCAGGCTGGTGGGCTGGGGGAAAACACCGTGCCCCTGGCAGGAGCTCTGACTCTGCTTTTCCTCCCAGCTCCTCAGCAGTGCCAGGGCCACCGTGAGGGAGCTCAGCCCCAGAAAACCCCACAGCATCCATGATTCCAAAAGAGAAATCATCCATTGTAGTAAAAAACCTAAACATCTGTTAAAAAGGCTATGACAACACTGTAACAGGATTCCCAGGAACCTTCTGGTTTGCTCTTGGTTCTGTTTTTATGTGTTTTTAGTCCCTCAGTGGGCAGCTTGTAGAATTTATTCTGGGTCTTAGAGGTTGAGCAGGGCTGGCTTTGGCTTGGCCTTCACCTCTGGTCCCACTTTGTGCCAAGCTGGGTGAACTCATGGCCTCAGCTTTTCCCTCCAAAATATCCCTTACTCATTTCCGCGCAGATGAACTCAGATTTTGCCCCAGACTGTCCCCTCCTCACCTCCTCTTGCCCTCGGTGTCCGTTCTGTTCCCCACAGGTGCCCTGGTGACACCAGGGCGCTCCCTCTGCCTTTCTCCAGCCCGAGGCCGCTCCTCCGCTCGCTCCCTCTGCTCTTGTCTCCCACAGCAGGGCACAAAAGGGGAAAGCTTTCATTCATTCATTCATTCATTCCTTCTGCAATTAACTGACAATTATTTCCAGTTGCCCCGTGAGAAGAACATGACTCACAGCCATCGGGGCCTGACAGGGTCCTGCAGCGAGAGCTCAGCGCACGTCCACAGGGGTAAGCCCAGCATCTGAAAGAAAAAAACAGAGGAGGAAAATGTGACTGACCTATTGTGCTTCTGAGTTATTTCAGGTTTTTAAAGCCCAGCCAACATTTGCTCTTGGCTTTGGTTGGGTGACTCATGAGCAGTGGGCACAGGTCATGCCATTCATGGGGGCAGAAAAAGTAGATTAAGCTCTCCTTATTTCAAGCAGTTATTAAAAATGATTTGTAACTCTTTAAACACAACACCCTTTAATTGCCATGGTGTTTATTCCGTGATTTTAACTAATTCTCAGTATATTTTATAAAACTTAAAATAACACCTGCTCCTTAACAGACTCCTAAAACATTAGACAAAAAGTCCTACTACCAGTCTCAGGCTTACACAAGAGACCCTCCCCACAGCCAAACAAAAAAATCAAACTATCGTACCAAAAGTAGCCCTTAGTAACATTAAAAACACAACTCAGGCATACCCGCAAATTTATTTCCTCCAAACACCAAACACTTCAAATTCTGAATCAAGAACTCTTTAAAAAGTAACAAAAACCATCAAAAAATACTTCAAATGTAAAAACCGTAAACATATAAGTAAATATTACTCAAAGCCCACAAAAATATAAATCAATCTAATCAATATCCTAAATACAAAAAACCCCACTATACAAAGTAGTACCATTCTAAATATAACATAAATAAAAGTCTTTTACCAAGAAACATGTCTCATAATAAATAAAACCACAATGTAAAGATATAGGTAATAATAGTAACTCAACAATCTAAAATTTCTTCAACACCAAAATACTTTAAGAACTTCAATATTTATAAATAACAGCCTTCAATAAGTTAAGTGTTCATGAAATCAAACAAAATTAAATTTCGCTACATTTAGGTCCAGATATTCTCAAATTACATTTGATCACTTTAATATTGTATTAAAATTAAGTTTATTATTCCTTAGTATCAGAATTCATTCATTCTCAATTTAAATTTTATTTAATGTAATTTCTCCTATATTTTATTAAAAATCATTTATCTAAACAAGTATATGGTTAATTTTCTTAAAAAAATAAAACTCCAATTAAAACAACTAAAATAAAACACTAACAAACACATATTCATAAGTGAAACAAACACAGTTTATCACATCATCAATTTAATCAAAAATTCTATTCTTCAATGCAATCTCTACTATTTTTATCTTTTATAAATAACACCAAAAAATAGCAATTAATATTAATATCATACTAGTTAAAATTTTTACTCTATTTCCTTAGTATATAAATATTTTTAAAAAGTTGTCTTAACTTCCTCAAACACTTACTACTAATATACCAATTCTAAAATAGAAATATATTAATTTTTGTAATAAACATTATTTATAAAACAATATTGTAATATTTGCAGCTGACTTGAATATACTTTACCATCTCTCTATATAATTATCTAGAAAACATTTCTAAGTCCTACTTTTTTATTCTTTAACTACTTACACATCTCTTAAACCAAGTTAACACTCTAACTAATCTCTACACTAACTCTATCATTTAACCTAATATTATCTCATAATTTTAAATATTTTTCAAAATTAAAAAGAAATTAAACTTCATTAAAAACCTCCTCCAAACTATTAATCTTGTAACTTTCCTCAGTTATTGTTACAAAAGCACTTCAATAAAAAATCCACCTGTAACATTATTTTTCTAAGTTTCACACTAAGTAATCAATCTCTCATACAACTACATTTCCTCCACCCTCACACTCACAATACCCAAATCCAAACTCACAATCCTGTCTATAATCGTCTTCAAATCTTTTTTAAAAAGTTTACTGTATTCAAAACATCTCTGTTCCTAAAAGTTTTACTCATAACTATTTTTAAAACAGTATATGAAAATATACTAAATAAATATATTAAAATTAAAATTTAAACTATATCCAAACCCTAACTCTACCTAAATAAAATAATTAACAGCAAACCCAAATATTTTCTATATCAAAAGTAAAATCCAAATAATTTTAACTTAACATTTTAACTTTACCAATAGAACAACTAAACCTGTTTCTTAAATAAACCTAAAAAATCATTTTCCAAATAAAATAATGCAACCTTCCACTAATTTGAAATGTATCAACTGTTACAAACTAAAATAATAGACAATATTTTAATACTTAATAATTACATAATTTCACATCTGTTACCAATTATATAATTATCTAAATAATTCCTAATTGTTATCAATTTCTCCTTTACTACATTATTTTACTCTAATATTTCTTCATACTTGTAACAAAAATTTATAATAAAAACAGTGTGTATCATTATCTTACACGTCTCTGTACAATTTTATAAAACAAAATGTGTCAATAGTTTATTTCTCATACCAAAACATAAATTTCACTTATATCTCAACAAGTACAAAAACCCAAATGAATTTCAATAAAAAACATAAAACCACATCGCACAAAAAACCACACTGACCACTCCACCAATAAAAAACCAAGGTAAAAACAAATGTAAATTACACAGCATAAATACAACTGTAAATTCCACAGAGTTAATGTAAATTACACAAAAATTCCACATTCCACCTAACATCTTGTATTGCACCACAAAAAACTATAAACTTTAAGTTTCTGTATAGATATAAAAATCAATAATATTATAAAACTCCTATTAAATAATAAGTTAAAAATATAAAATTCAGTCAAAATCAAATATTCTACTCTATTTTCTTTGTGTACTTTTAATTATACAATTTTACCAATTATCCAGTCTAAAACATTTAAGTAACTTTAGTTAAAGTTTCAAATTTAAATACTTTGTATTTATCTATCACTACTCAAAAAAAATCCATTCTTTACTTACTCAAATAATATACCAATAAAAAACATTACAAATAATCCATATAATTAAAAACCCTTACATTAACTCCTACTATAAAAATAATTACTAATGTAAAACATAGAAATCATTTATCCATCAGTACTAATCAAAATATAAAAATAATTTCAAACCTTAAAACTTAAAAAAAAAATGGTAGCATCTCTTTTTATACCACCTATTATTTCAACAGCAAGACTAAAACAATTAAATAAATGAAAATATTATCTAAGTAAACAATCTAATACTACATCCCTTACATTAAATAACTTTTTAACAGATATTAAAAATATTCAACATGCAGTTTTACAAAACAATAAGTTTTCTTAACACACAAATATAAATATAAGAAAAATTAATAAATATATAAAATTATCTAATCCCTCAAAATATCTTTATAAAAACACACAACTCTAAAATATATTAAGAATAAATAATAAAACTTAATTTATTTAATAAATAAATTTAAACACCATAATTTAAAAAATAACAAAATTGTACATTTTAATTATTATAATAATGCTACTACTAATAATAACACATTATTTACATAAATATTTATAACCAGTGCTTAACAGATCCATTAATAAGAATGTCTTAATGCAGAGAGGGAGGAGAGATGTGGGAATTGGAAAAGCAGAAACTTCCAGAGACACTAGAAGATTTGATCTGCGGCCTTGGAAGAAGCTTGCATTGATGTAGAAATCCAACACACAGACCTCAAGCAGAAGAATCATAAACTTCTGGTTCTATGGTTGTAAGTAAGAGTAGGCTTTCAATAAGTGAGAAACTGAAGGGTGAGATGGAGAAGGGTTTGTGATGTGAGGGTGTGGTGTGTAGAGGGGCTGGGAGCTCAGAATTGTAACAGAGCATGTGTGCAAGCGAGACAGAAGCCTGCTGAACAGAGGCACCCACAGTGCAGCAGAGTTCAGTAAAAGTGATGGGTTAGAAAAGCAAAATAAACCCTGTGGCAGCTGTCCCTTGGGTTAGAAAGTTATATATTGCCTTGTCATGGAGAAACTCTTGCACTGTAGCCAGCTGCTTACTCCTTTAAAGTCTCAGGGCCTCTGAGCTGATGTTTGTGCGAGCAATAAATCCTTCTGAACCCACACCAGTCCCATCCCTTGGTTACTGGCAGTGACAGCAGCTCTGGCCGGGGCTCTCTGTGTCTCAGGCACGGCAGGGGCCAGGGTGCTCCAGCGGGACAGCCTGGAACCAGAGCAGACCAGCGGGGTTAGCCAGGGCTGGGGACAGCTGGGGACAGCAGCCAGCAGAACCACCAGCCTCTGGGGCTTCATGTCAACCGCACAGAGCATCCCAAACGTGGGATTTACAGACCTCGCACTCCCTTGTCACAAAAGCTGGGTCTGATCTACCTCTCAGGGTGGCCAACGCCTCCTCCCCCAAAAACACAGGAATTACAATTTTGTGCTGCTTTTACAACCTTCATGTCAGCTTTGCAACTGCAAATCCCAGCAGGTCCCTGCTGCACAGAGCACCAGTCTGCAGTGATCTCCACTTCCCTGGAAAACCTGCTGCAGCCCCAGGCTGTACCAAGGTGAGTACAAGTCTGGAGAGCTAAGAACCCTCACCTGGCTGCTGCACTTGGAGCGAGATCCAGCTACAAATGGAATTCTGGAGACAGCCTCCAAAATGTTCTGTAATCGTACCTTTACAATGGCTCCAAAGGGCAGCAGCTCCGGTGCCAGACCAGGACCTGCACGAGTCCTTGTGCCAGCCCTGGCTCACTGGAAAGCACAACAAATCAACCATCACACAGGCCTTGTTTGCAGAATTCCTGCTCCAAACCCTCACCTCTCCTGCCCCACACTGAGGGAAATCTGACCCAGTATTAATAAATAGTGTTTGCTGAGAGCAGTCGTCACCCCAGTCCTGCAGCCTTGGTGCACAGACAATGCCCAGCCTGCCCCTCTGGGCACAGCCAAACACCACAACTCCATCATCCCCGGGAGCTCTGGCATTTGCTCTTCACCTCTGCCCTCTTCCAGCAGACACAGGTGGGGCTGGGCTGTCAGAACGGCATTCCCTGGGCAGTTCATCCCAGCAGAGAGGAGAAGAGGAAGGCTGTGTCCCTTTGACTTACCCCACAGCCTGGGCAGGACCAGGAGCCCTCCAGCGCAGACCCCTGGTGCTGAAGCCTCTTGGCTTTGGCTGCTTAGACACCGAGGCTTTTGGCAAAGATGGGAGGAGTTTGATGATTTTTCCTGTCCTGAAAGAGAGGAGGGAAAAAAAAATTAAGTCCACTGCAAAGGTCAAAGGATCCCAGCTTTCATATTTCTGCTCTGACCGCTCACTGTGTGGTTTTATCCATGAGAGGTGACGCCAATTCTAACATAAAAGTGCCCTTTTCCAGCATTTTTATTCCTAACTATTTTAGACATTAAAAGGAAGCTCATTTTTCTTATTGCATTCTTTGCCTGATTTTAACAGAACCATTTTCATCCCAGGACCTCGCTTGTCAGTCCTTTACCATTGGACTTGGAACAAAGGAAGGGACACCCAGGATGCTGCATCACAAGAAATCCCGAAGAGAAACCCCTCCAAAACCTGACAGAAAAAGGTTTCAAGGCACTCCAGAACACAGCCAGCTGTTCATGCCTTGTCAGGCCACAGCAACCCTGTCACATCCACCCGAGCTGTGCAGGCCAGGCAAAGGCTGCCCTTCCTCCTAGGCAGCACTGCCTGAGAGCACAGAGAGCCATCCTGGGCAGCACCTGGAAACAGCAGGGGAAAGGCAAAACGAAAATGTTTTCTGTCAGAAAATGAGTGTCTGTAATCAGAACTTGTGGACACTTTCATGTGATAAATACAGGCCATGCCCATCCTTCCAGCCCAGGTGAAAACAGGAAGGAGAACTACAGGAAAAGCAGGAAGACAGAGTCCCTTGTTTGGATCTATTTCCTAAAGACACTTCTGCATTGATATCGTTTATATCAATAAAACTTTGTGTTCTTTAAAAGAATGGATTGCTGCTAAAAAAAATAATATTCTATCAGCCATAGCCAGGACAAGCTGCAGCTGGAGAGCCAGGGAGATGCAGGAACTTGGCACACCAGGGATAAGAGCAGGGGAAGCAGGGGAGGTGTCGGGGGAGAGCTGGAGAAGTGAAGGAGCAGGCAATCTTGTAAAAAATAAATCTTGTTTAGATTCATCAGTGCTGGGAACAAGGAAAATGCATGGTGCTGGATGCATCTAGGACGTAATGCCCCTGGTTTGGTTGTTGTCCTTTGCTCCTGGGCTTTGGCTTCAGCCCCTCTCCAGAGGAGCAGGGAATTCCTGCAGGGAAAGGGGGAGCCTGGTCCCACTCCAGGGATATGTCCAGTAAAGGAGGGCAGCTGTTTGGAGTAACTGACCAGTGTTTTTGTTACACACAACAGTCAAACCAAACAAGCACTGAAATGGACCACACCGAGCTGGAACACAAAGTGTTCACAGCAGGCAGAGGCAAGAGGTACACACAGGACCAAGAATTACCATTTCACTTGGCTTTTCTGCTTACAGCCATTTTAATTCTGCTTTACCTCACAGCTGCCATTCTGCCATTTCCATTTCCAGGAGCCTGTGTCACGTGTAGCTGAGGCTAGAAATCCTTACTCGGGATTTCCACATCTCACCTGGATTGCCAGGAAGCACGTGCACACATGCATGCCCATTTCTGTGATATGTCAGTCAGAAGTCACGTAACCCAGCCACTTGCTCCTCACTGCACCACTTAGAAATGCATTAAAAAGCCAGAAAAAAACCCCAAAACAACCAAATAACAACCCACAGCAGAGAGAGCTTAGTGCAGCATCATCTTAATGTTCTGCTCAGTGATGGAGAGAAAGAAGGAGGAAAGCTGTTTTCCAGTACTCCCAGGTCTGGACCAAGCAGTTTGAAACAGCCGAAATTGCCCTCACCTGCAGCTTTGCTCCTTGCTTCAGCCTTGCCCTGACTTCTGAGGGACCAGAGGCACCAGACAAGCCAAAACTGGCAGCACTCGCACCCACTGCTAGAACGGACATCTTCGTGTTCTGTCTTTGGCCAAACAACCCCCAGGACGTTTCTGCTTTCCTGTCAGACTTGGCAAATTTCATTGACATTTATCCAGGCAGCAGACACCCTGTATGGCTCTGGGGTCAGATCCCCTTTGGCACAAAAAGCCGAGAGAAGACTGGAGGGAAGAACCCAAGAGCAAATTGAAATCCCGGAATGCAACGAAGGCCTGCTTCTGGCAGGTTCCTGTTGGCTCTCGGGGCACAAGAAAGGCCTTTGCACCATTTGCATCCATGTGAAAAGCCAACACCGAGCACTTGGCTTTAAAGATGTTTACTCAGTGTTACAGACATAGAATTGCTTTGGGATTTGGCATCTCCTGCACCCACACAAACACATTAAAGGAATTAAGTGCAGAGTCCTGAAGTTCAGTTATTCCAATTCTATTTTGGTAGGGTCACCTGACATAACAAAATCCACAGCAATACTTAAAAAAATGAAAAGCAACTCTCCCTCCCCCCCCCACTTTCAATTTTCCAGTTTAGGAAAACTGTCTCACCCTTCACACGAGACTGAAAATGGAATAAAAGTTTTTGTAACTCCTCTCAGTTGCCCCATCTCTGGGCCAGAAAAGGGCTTAATCCAATAAGTTTTCCTCACACAAAGCACCAATTTATCAGATTATGCCCTTTTCTGACCCAGAAATAAGTTAACTGAGAAGCATTTTAAAAAATTTTATTTAATTTTCAGTCTCACGTGAAGGGTGAGACAATACAGCTGTCATAATTCATGTCATCACAATCAGAAGCCAGCTATTTCCTAATTACAATACAAGCGTTTCTTGTCCTATCAGCTTTTGTCACACCATGCTGTAAATGCCTTAAAGCCAATCATCTAAAATTACTCCTCGTGAGTCCTACTACAATGCATCTTTCATAGTTCTATTTCTCTAAAGTATCCAGTCTTATTTACAAACTCATCCTTTAAAGCTCATTTCTAGCTCCATTTCTCTCTCAACAATGTCTGTCCCATTCCATGGCATTTCTAAGTCAGCATTTCTTATCTCAGAGTTTACATCCAGATACATACTATGTGAACCTCCTGCCAAACTCTGAACATTTTCTACAGGTCCATTTCCCTCACCAGAGCGTTCCCTGCCCAGCACAGGAGCTGTGAGTGCTGTTGCAGGGCACAGGTCTGAAGGAGCACTGGAGCTGTGACATTAAAGCCAGCAAAAGCAATTATCAAGTAGAAAGAGATCCTCACCTGGTCCAACGACTGAATCCCTGTGGCTCATCCTCACGGGGTGACCCTGCTCCAGGGAGGAATCTCCACACAGCTTCCAAGACCTGGGGTCAGACACTGCCCTACCAGCAGAATACAAAGGGTTAATGAAGCTTTTTGTACACGTTCTGTCCCCAGAGTGGTTTGACAAAACAGCCACCAACGTGGATCTTGATTAAAGGCAGCTTGTACCCATGCCTGCAATAGACTTTCATGTGTTGTTTCCTCAAAGTCTCTGTTTTAATGTATTTTGATATTAAAAGTTAATATTTAAAGTTTACATTTAAACAGGATTTAACATGAGCTGTGCACGCTGCCATGCTCCATGCCCTGAGGAAGAGCTGGATATCCTCACACTCACCCGGGCCGAGGCAGCTCTCACACAGGGAGGGAGCTGCTGCAGCATGCAAAACATTTAAAAACCACCCCTGCCTTGAGGGTGGCCAGAGCTGGGAGAAAACCCTTCCCACCACCCTCCTGCACTTCCCTCCCTGCCGCTGCTTTGCTCCCAGCTTGGGAAGGTTTGCTCGGGGGCATTTCAGCATCACAAAGGGCTTTTCCAGCCTCGGGGGTTCCGTGGGAGCGCAGTGACTGACCCAGCTGCGCACAGGCAGGGAAGCTCTTACACACAGACCATGCCGAGCCAGAGCCCTCCAGGGCATCCCTGGAACAGCAGAGAGCAGGAAAGGCACAGCTGCAGCACTCATCCTGCTCCGTGCTCTCCCATGAACACCATTTCCTCCCGGTCCTGAGAGCCCCAAGGAAAATCACTATCAGGGTGGCACTGAAGCTGCCACTTTTCTGCCACTCTGCCCTAGATCCACGGGCCAGCAGGTTTCTGTGCGAGCAGGAATTATTTGTGCAGGTCAGAAGCTGCTCATCCCCAGAGCATTCTCTTAGGAACACGAAGCTTCCCACGTGCATTTTGTAGCCCAATTTGTAATTTAAGCGTATTTCAAGAGAGTTTAAATCGGAATGAGCTGACCTGGTGCCAGCACAGCATTAGATACGGGGCACCAGGAGACTCACCAGGCGTTCACTGCAGACTCTCCACTTCCAGCACTCCAGCTGCAGTTTTCCCATTTCTCACGGAGTTCTGTTTCCAGGACTCCCATCAGGAAACTGATGGCCGGTTCCAGATGCAAATCCCAAAGGCACCATTGATCCCAGCCACTGCTCCTCTCCCCCCCGATCCCCCCCTCCCTCCTTCCTTTACCCCTTTTATAACCACGGCTCCACCCACGACTCAGAAGGAGGCTCCCAGGTGCCTCCCGAGGCCAAATCATTCCAGGTGTATCAGGAAATAAGTAGAAATAAGCTCGCCCCTTTTGGGGTAACGAATTATCTTTTCCCCCATTCCCCCTTCTGTCTCCTGTTCCCTAAGGCAGAACACTCGGATCAGGTGGGGGTCAGGGGGAAAATGTCAAGTCCAAAACCAAACCAAACTTGTTTTTCCATCGGTTTCCATCAGGAATGTTCAGTTTTCCCCACCGACCCTCGGCCACAGGAGCAGCTTCTCCCTGGGACCCGGGGCGAGGTGGGCACAGGGACACCCATCCCGCTGCCTCCCGGAAAAGGGAGCTCAGCCCATCCCATAAAACGTTGTCACCGCAGCTGGGAAGGCGGCACAGTTTTATTCCATGAAACACGACCCCAGAGAGCCTCAAGTCCCGGGACAAACTCGTCCCACACAGCAGTTTTTCCCACGTACCAGTGCCAAGAGCACACACGTCCCCCTGCGGGTGCCACCACACGCAGGTGACCCCAGCGCACCTCTGTCCCCTCCGGCCACGCACCTGAAGGCACCACCCGCTGGCTCCCGGCGCTGCTGCCCGAGAAAGGGGATTTTCCCGTTCCCGGCACAGCTGCCGCTGGCACGGCAGGGACAGGCGAAGGGAGCGAGCCCCGCGTCCAGCGCTGCAGGGCGGACACGGGCTGGGCAGGGCCGGGACCGCAGCCCGCGGGTACCGCCCGCAGCTCCCGCCGCGCCACCTTCTCCCGGGGCAGCAGCTGTCCTTGGTCATCCCCGCTGCTCCCAGGGAGTCAAAACCGCCCTGGGAATTTGCTTCTGACAGCAGTCATCAATTTTCTGATGGGAGTCCCTGAAACAGAACTGAGTATCTGTGGCAAATGAGGGTGCTACGGATGGAGTGATAGCAGAGGAAATCTTGTTCCTGCCAGTTACCCATGGGAAGAAAGTAATTCCCAGCAGTCTTATGCTTGGAGAACAGGGAAAGAGAATTCTGTGTCCTCTCCTGCTTAGGATGTACATTTTCACTGTCCTAAAAAGGGACCATTTGAGGCTTTAGAGAGATTGGCGTGGGTCAAGGATCTGCTGCCTTGGCAGGGCAAAAGCTGGAGCTGCCGTTTGTGACTGTGACAGACCTGAATAATTAGAGATCAATGGGAAGTTGTTCAGTGCCCCAGAAATGACAGAGAATGTCAGCTTGACTGGTGTCACATGTAGAGCTGGGACAATGACCCTGAACACCCCCAAAAGGTTGTGCCCCTAGGGTGAGTTTCTCCCTGGGAAAGGGCAGTGCCTCAGGAAAGGGGTGCGCAGGGAAGTGCCGAAAGAAACCCTGAGCCCCGCTGTGATCAGACCCCATAGGGGCGGTTTATTTGAAGCGCCAGTAAGGAACAATGGGAATTCCCTGGCCCTCAGCTTGGTCCCGCCTGCCCACACCACTGCCCTCGGGAAGCGCTGCTCTTCCCGGCTGGAAAGCCAACAAACATTTTTTCCTTTGTCCCTTAAAATTCTTCTCTGAAAATCTCTGTTCTCCCACGTTTCTCCTCGAACACATCCTTCCCCCTTGCGTCTCCCCGGTCCCTCCCTGAGCGTGTGGCTTCGCTGCTCCCCGGCGCTTCGGCAATTAATATAATTGATGCTGAGGCTCGCTGGGCCGGCGAGGGGCGCCGAGGGCTCAGGCCAGGGCCGGCCGTGCCAGCACCATGACGCGCTGCAGCTGCTCGTAGGACACAAACATCACCACGTTCCAGGAGCCCAGCCGCAGGAAGGACGGGACGAAGCTGTGCCGGCAAAAGCAGGGCTGAAGGGGACGTGCCGGGGACATCCCCACAGGCCTGCACGAGGGTGGGGGAATTTGGGGGGCCCGTGCGGTCATCGCAGCCACTGTGCAGGTGCTTGACTCACCCCTTGTAGAGGCCGGCGGGGCCGTCCTGCATGAGCAGGGCCAGCAGGCAGCTCAGGGCGTTGCGGTACTGCCCGGGGCTGGCGTTCATGTACCGCGTCTTCACCACGTCCACCGGGGACGCCACCACCGTGGCACAGAACCCGGCGCCGAAGGCGGCCACGAAGTGGCACGGGACGTTGTCTAAGGTGGGGAAGAGCCGGGGGTTGGATGCTGCAGGGACAGGGATGGCACCTGGCCGTGTCCCCCCGTGCCGTCCTCACCTGTCATGAGCTGTGCCCGCAGCAGCGCGTCCTTGAGCAGGTCGTAGGTGACGAGCTCCCCGCAGTTGATGATGGCATTGCGGGCGATGTTGGGCAGCGTCCCTGCGCAGGAGGGTGGTGGCATTGGGACTGCTGCTCACAGCCCCGACTGCAGCATCCTGGGCAGGTGCCCCAGCCCTGCTGCCCCCATCCTTCTTCCCCTCCTCGTCGCCATTTCCAGTCTACTCCCACCGCGTCCCTTTCCCACGCCCACCCCTGTGCACGCCTACCTCTCCAGAGCCCGCGGATGCCCTCCTCCCTGGCGATGGTGCGATAGGCGTCCACGGTGCCGCTGTAGCGGCGGGCGCTGTCCGGCAGGGCCCCGCAGGCCTGGAAGCGCACCTTGACCACGTCGGTGGGCTGGGCGCAGGCCACGGCCACAGCCCCCGTGGTGCAGCCGGCCAGGAGGCGCGTGGCCATGCCTGTGTCTGGAGAGGACAGGAATTGGGACTCCTGGCCCTGCGCAGCCCCCCAGCCCTGCAGGGACCCCAGGGCGAGTGGCTGTGGTGCTTCACAGAGGGCCAGCTCAGGGGGTTGTGCCCCCAGGGTGAGTTCCTCCCTGGGAAAGGGCAGTGCCTCAGGAGAGGCGGGACCATCGCTCGCGGCCCGGCCCGTCGCCCCTGGGCCGAAGCGGGGCCGCTCCCGGCCCTGCGGGGAGGCGGGACCGGGGTTGGGAGCGGGGCTTCTGGTTCGGCTCCTGTCGGTGTCGGCTGGGGGTCCGAGCGGTGCCGTCTCTCCCCCGGCGGGCGGAGTGTGGGTCTCGGGGCCGGAGGAGCGGGGCGGCACTGCGGCGGGGATCGGGACCGGGATGGCCGCGGGCGGCAGGAGCCGCTCCGGGCCGGGGCTGCGCCTCTGGCCGCGCACGGGAGGACGGCGGTGATCTGCTCGTGCTGACCGGAACCGGCCGGGGCGTGGGGACCCTCCGTGCCCGCCCCAGAGCCCCCAAACCTCGCCGCTCCACGTCGTGCCAGGGAATTTTTTTTTTCCCCAGTGTAGGCCGAGGATTCTTTATGAGAAAATTCAAAACTCAAGGACGCGGGATCTGAGGGGAGCGGAGAAATTCTGGTATAAATTCAAAACACACTGTGAAAAATCATATGGAACAGCTCATTTGCTCTCCCAGACTGGTTTCTGGTGATCATCTGTGACTCCAACTGCTCCAATGCTGAAACGACTTGCCAGGTGCTAAGCACGACAGAAAATAATGGGAAAACTCTCTGGATCAGACAGTGGAGCCTCTCAGCAGTGTCCCAATAGTCTAGTAATACCCAGCATCTCTGGCTGGAAACTGAGGGGTTCCAGCACAGCCCCTCTGTAGTGTTCCTCTGGAGCTGACACTTCCCAGCATCCCTGACCAGGGTTTGCGGTCCCAGCACAGGATCCTGGCACAGGCCCTCTTGCTTCCTCAAATTCCCTTTAACCAGGATGATTTTTTTGGGGTAGGAGCACCCAAAGCCAGCAGGACTGGCCTTAACTACTTTTTCTGGGATCTCTCCTCTTTCTTCCTCACCAAATTCCCACTGTCAAAACAGAGCTTGAGGCTCAGCTCCCCATCCCCTCAATCTCTCCAGGAAACTGGGCTTGGATTTCCCAATCCAGCAGGGCAGAAATGCTGTCGTCCTTGATGCATTGATCCTTGACCTAACTGCAGAAATTGCTTAAGAAATAATAGAAAGAAATTAAATGCATTAAATTAAAGAAGAGCTGCCAGCTCCAACTAAGGGATGCTCAAAGCCCTTATCAATAATTTGCTTTAATTAACCAACTCAAAAAAAAATAAACACCACATTGATACAGTATGATTCCTTTTAACTGAGTTATAGATAAATATTGTAGAATATAAAAACCTTTCTAGACTCAGAAACTCTTTTAAGAGATAGACAGGGCACAGCTGCAGAGAGACTCTTGGGATTCAGGGGAAAAAACCCGAAGCTTTCAGTCTTCAGCATCTTCCACTAAGTCGTCATTGACAGCAAACATGGCTTCAGCCTCAGGAAGACAGGGAGTCAGGGATTTTACAGATCCTGGTCTCACCTCAGCCTTTCAGCAGGTACAATCTGCAGGGAGAGGGAAGAAAATGGGTCAGAATGGACACCCTACTTCCAGAAAATCATCATAATTCATAAAGCATTACGTAGAGCTGTAAGAACTTCCCCAAAGGTTCATTTCCCTGCGGACTGAGGGCTCCAAGTTGAAGCACAGGCTGGACCTGCCATGGACAAACTACGGGAACCCCAGAAGTAAAAGCTGCTTGGCCACTTCCATAAATATTCCAAAGTCAGGCTCCTCACCTGGTGGTGGAAGCACAAGTAATGATCTTCCCTCCTGTGGGTTTTTTGCGATCTGCAGTGAACTGCAGGGGGAAAAAAACCAAAAACTCAAGTATCTCCCATGACTGGAACAGAAAAGTGGGGAAAAAGGATGCAGGGGCACTCCTGGTGTGAATAACTGGGATCCAACCTCTCCAAACCAATGGTAGCAGAGACTGAGTGACAAAGCCTTTGGGACCAATTTGCTGGGATTCATAGGAAAACTGATGAGTTTTACTCTGGCAATAAAGCCAAGCTGGTTACCACCTCATCAGCCGGGTCCAGCAGCGGCATCCACAGGAACCTGGCCAGGTGTATCTGCCTGGCAGAGGGCTCCCCACTTCCTGGGAATCTGTGTGGTACAGGGCACTGTGGCACTGGCCATTAAAACAGTTCCTACTTGTCCTCTCACAAGGCAAGATGGTTTTTCCACACAGCAAATGTTTTTTGAATTAAGAAGATAACACTACACTCAACTGGAGAAGAAAAAAGTGAGATCTGTTAAATTTTCCTAAGCCAAAAAACAAAACCAAATCAAACCAAAAACCAACAATAATAATGAAAAAAATTAAGCATATTTCAAGAGAGTTTAAATCTGAATGAGGTGACTTGAAAAGCTTGAAAAGCTGCAAGACTGCAAAAATCTAATGCTGCAAAAAAAGCCTCTTCTTACATCACATTTTATCCCTGAACTTGCAAAAAACCCCCACCAAACTAGCAATTCACCTCATATAGTTATTGAGTCATTCCTGTCTTTGAGCACAAGTCCGGCTAAAGCTATGGAGACAAGGACAACATGAGTGACTTAATGCTGTTCCTTTGGAAATCACAGAATCACAGGGAGGTTTTTCATTAGCTTAGGAAAATGCACACCCAGTTCAGTAGATACTGAATAGCAGGGAAGTCAGGAGATAAATGTTTTGCTTTACAGAGACAAAAAATTAAGTAATATTTACATTAAACCAGAAGTCAACAGAATGTCTGCTCAGAAGTCTTTATTAAGAAAAAAAGCCCTGGGGTATCCTTTTGAGGGATGTAAGAGGAACTCCTTGGCTGGGACACAGCCTCAGCCAGTTCTGCTCCCCCACCACACAGGCCACCCATGGCCCTCAGCTCTTCCACAGTCTTTGTAATGTTCCCACAGATCCCAGAGGATCACAGGGCCAGCTGTCACCTTTGCCCTTCTCCTGCAGTTCAGCAGGTATTTCCTGTCAGACCTGCCTTTGCAGAGCAGCCACACGGGACTCCACAGTGGTCAGTCTTGTCTCCAGAACTTTGAATACCATATCCACCTGCAAAATAACCAGGCAGAGCTACTGGGTTACACACAGAATTTGATAACACAAAGAGCATGTGTGGACGCCAGAAAGGACTCAAATCTCATCTCACATCACCAATTCTTTTCATTTGACTCTTTCCCTGCTACTTTCATACTGTGAAAGCTCACCCAACTCTAACATTCACTGTCCACTTTTTCCAGCCTTGGTGTCAGAGCCACACACTCAGCTTTTGCTGGACAACCTTCAGTTTCTACAGTCAACTTCCTTACACTATTTGCTCCCAGCTCTTCCTACCTACAGTCACAAGATTTTAGCAGAGCAAAACATCAACTTGATTGATGATGTTATACTTCAATACAAAGCTACAGCAAAAGCATTAAGTCCATTGCACAAAAGGCAGAAGAAACATGACTAAAAGTTAAGTGAAGATCTGGAGAAGTGAATCAGAACTAACTAGAAACAACACATCAAATTACTGAGACATAAATAGGAACCTAATGCTGTGCTTGATAAACAGAACATGCCAATTACCATGAAAATTGAAGGAAAAGTTACTGAAAATCTTGCATAACACAAGATACCAATGACATGAAGCAGACCAGTACATGCTGCAATGCACTGAATTGCTCTGGGTGAAATCAGCTGTTCTGCAGAAGCTACTGAAGCACATTAAGGTTTCACAGAGGTGATTTAAACAAAGAATGATGTAAGGTTAAACCTCACCTTTTCCAGCACATCTTGCAAGACAGCTTGACTTTCAAGAGTAAGAGGCTCCTCATTAATAACAGCTCGCTTCTCCGGGGTTCCTAGAATGTAGCTGAGATGCCACAGTTTAGATCATGCACTTCCCACTCTGAAGCCAAAAATCCCAACACAGCACTCCTCCAGAACCCTGAGAGATAGCCATGGATTCTGGGCTGCAGGATGCAGTGAAAAATTGCACAGTCACCAAGAACAGTGCAGCACTGGCCGGGAGAAGCAGCATTACTCTCCAAGAAAAGTGCCATTCTGCAGCCAGGTCAGTGCTTTAGAGAATTTAACTACCAAAAAATAAGATATCATAGCTGTGGAATTAAGGAAAAAAACCAAAAGCACTGTCCAGAGCACGAGGGTGAACATCGACAGCAATACAGCAAAATAAATGGGAACTTCAGAAAAAAACAGAGACATTAAAACTAGTTCAGGTGAACACTGTCCATCAGAACAATGCTTGCATAAAAGAACTCTGGCATAAAGCCTTGATTCACTATAGAGTTAGTGAAGAACACCTTAAGACCACTTTTAAGTGCTATAGACTGACTAAACCCAAGCACACTTTCATTTTCTAGACAGATTTTAAGATGGCTGAGTGAGAGTTTTCAACACATACTCAGTTGTCAGATTTGCCTTTGCCCCCCTTAGCAAGGACAGAGCAGACGTGGCCAGCACAGGTCAGACCCACCCCAAGTTGTGCCTGAGCCCCTCTGCCCACACTTCCTGCTGGAAATGCTGACCCCTAAGGGGATCCAGACGGGCGCATTTGGTGCTTGGTTTGTGCACTCTTCTGAGCAAATGAGAAGGAACCCTCCCGTGCCCTGGACCTGGTCATATTTTCTTGGCTGGAATGCAATTTCTCATACAAAAGGCAGACCTGGCTGGTTTGGGTTTTTTCCTAGGATTTGCCTTACACAGGTGATGTTCCTCAGAACTGAGCACTGTGATGCCAACAGCAGCAATACAGAAAACCACTGTGGGACAGAGCAGCAGGAAAACAACCTCTAGACTTCCCAGAGATAGAACAGGAGCACCCTCAGTGCAATGCCTGGTGAGTGAAGTGAAGCTGGCAGGCTGACCCATAAACATTCTGTATTTACCTTTCAACAGAGTCAACATTGAAACAGAACAAATCTCTCTTGTAGTCGAGGTTCCTTGAGGTGCACCTGTAGATGCTGCCAAGTGTCTTTGAGCAGCCAGAGCAGAATAAGGTTTCTACTACGCTGTAAGTGAGAAACAACATTGATTCAGACGAAAATAAAAGGAAGCACCTCACCCCATCCTTTCCTTAAAAAAAAAAAAAATGCATTAGAATTTTTTTAAGCATTCATTCTTGCTTTACACAGTGTAAATTGTGAGCACTCATCTTTCAGCCTGAATTTGCAACAGTTCCTCAGGCTGACTGACCTCAGCAAGACCATCAGAATAACAAAATTGTGGTAGGGACCTTAAAGCTCATCCCATTCCACCCCTGCCATGGCAGGGACACTTTGCACCATCCCAGGCTGCTCCAGCCCCAGTGTCCAGCCTGGCCTTGGTCGCTGCCAGGGATCCAGGGGCAGCCCCACTGCTCTGGGCACCTGTGCCAGGGCCTGCCCACCCTCACAGGGAAAAACTTCTTCCTGATATTTAATCTAAACCTGCCTTCCTCCATCCTCATGCCATTCCCCTTGTCTATCACTGCCTGCCCTTGTGAGAAATCCCTCTGCCTTAGGCCACAAGCGGCTTGTACAAACCCCGCAAGGAAGTGTTCCATGGCTCTGGGGGGCACACCAGCACTCCGGGCCCTCCACCGGGCTTGTCCTCAGCGCCTTCCCGGGAACCCCCGCCTCCCCCGGGACTGTGCCCAGCCGCGACCGGCCCTCACCATCCGCACTCGCCGGGGAGATTGGAGATCTTCCGCTCGGGGTCCACGGCGACGCTGGCGGCCACACCTGCAGCGGGAGGGAGGGAGGGAGGGAGGCAGGGAAGGAGGGATGGCGCCGTGGCGGCGGCGGGGTCGCGCCGGGCGGCGGGGCTGGCACTCACTGCGCAGCAGGATGCAGCCGCTCTCCTCGTCGTTGGACACCCAGCTGGAGGTGTCGCCCACGGGCCGCCTGCAGCCGGCGCACAGGAACACCATGGGCATGGGGGCCGCCTCCGCCCGCCGCCGCTGCTGCTCGGCCCGGCCCGCGCCCGGCTCCAGCAGCGACAGCGAGTACTCCAGCGCCGGGCACAGCGACAAAGGGTCCTGCCCGACCGACATCGTCTTCGAATCGTCCGCCGAGGGAGGGGCAGTGACACCGGACATCGCCCCCGAACAGCCCGCCAAGGAAGCGGGAGCCGCCCCCGTGTGGCCCCGGAACTGCTCCGGAGGCCGGCCCCGCACCGCCCTCACGCCGCGGCTGCCCCGGAACTGCTCCCGGGGCCGGCCCCGCACCGCCCTCACGCCGCGGCTGCCGGGGAACTGCTCCCGGGGCCGGCCCCGCACCGCCCGTGCCGCTTTTAGAGCTCGTTGGGTCACGGAACCAAAGCAAAGGATGTGGTCGTTCCAGTATATCGCTTTTATATGAAGCGTTTTATCAAGTCACTCCTAATTCAGAGGATCTCGTGAGCTGGAAGGACCCACAAGGACCACCCAGTGCCACCTTGTCCCTGCACAGACACCCCAACAGTCCCACCCTGGGCATCCCTGGAGCACTGTCCAAAGGCTCCTGGAGCTCTGTGGGGCCCTGCGCATTCCCTGGGGAGCCTGGGCAGTGCCAGCACCCTCTGGGGAAGAACCTTTCCCTGCTCTCCAGCCTAAACCCCTCCAGACACAGCTCCAGCCGTTCTCTCGGTGCTGTCGCTGTCACAGGGAGCGGGGCCCAGAGCTGCAGCCCCAGTGCACTCTGACCTCCGTCTCCTCCAGGCTCAAGAGGCTGAGCGCCCCTGCAGACCCCAGCCCTTCCCACCCAGACACATTCGGGAATGTTTTCCTGCCCGGCTGTGCTCAGGAGCTCCCAGGAACAGTGCACTGCTGTGAGAGAAGGGTTTATGATCCAGCTGGCACTTGTCCATCCTGTCCCTAGGTTACAGGGCACCCGTCTCCGTTTAAAACACCTTGAGGAATAACATGAGTCTCCAGCAGGAAGCAAGGATTGCATTTTCAGGGCTGCTCTTACATCTCTGCCATACATTACCGCTCGTTGCCACTAGATGTTTTCAGTCCCAAGGCAGTCCTTGAGCTGCGGGACCCCGGAGCGATTGGCACAGGCACCAGTTGTGCAATTCTCTGTCTGAGGGCGCCGAAGTGCAGTGAGGCAAAGTAGTGGGTCGGAGTTCTGAGCTGGCTTAACAGGCACCGCTGACATGGCTAACAGAACAAACTCCTCTGAGTATTTCTGGTCTTATGAATATTACTGGGATTACATAGATCCAATTCCAGTAGATGGAAGCAAGCTGAAGGTTAATAAATGTAAGTATTGTGGAGTAGTAGGTGCTAATCTAGCATGGGGAAAATGTTGCGTAGCTTGTCTCACTGACCTGGTTTTGTTTCCTGGCAATAGAGTCCATGCCAGTGCCTGGTTTGTGTGAAAGGGTGTTTGCCTTCAGGCTGGATAATTACTAACAAATACTCTGGGCTATATCTGAAGCTATAAGACTGCTGACACTAATTCTTGTTTACAAGGATAGATTTTTCCTGAGTCATTTGCTAAGGGGAAATGTGATGACTTGTGAATCTGTAGTGTGGGATGCTAGTTACCTGTGTGCTACTGTCACCGAAGTTCACTGAAGGAGCAGAGGTTTTCATAAAAACACTGTGTTTTCATCCTGGGACAAGGCTGACATTGCAGCTGGTAAGCATTCACTTTTAGTATAGGAAATGTATGTTTCCACTAGCCAGGAACAATAAGCTGCAAACATATTCTTTGACCTTCCCTCCCTTCCCTGAAGATGCCTGAAACTGTTCAGATGTGGATTCAGAGACTAAAATTGTTTTTTTCCAAGGTTATTACAGTGAAATTATTATATATTCCAGGAAAATGGGGCTGCCTTTCAGAATATCTTCATGTCTCTCTCACTAACAACGCAAGAAACTGCCTTTCTGATGGTGAAGGTTGAATTCTGTGTTAGGAGCTGCTTGTCCTTTGGTTGCTTGGACAGCAGCAGCAAAAAGGAGCAGAAACTTACTCTGCACCACCGCTAGAAAAGCTTTTCTGTGCTTTCAGATCAGTCGAGGGTTTACTGCCTCCAAACTTAGAGCAGCACACCTTAAAGAAAGTGGTGTGAATATCCACATCCCTCCATACAGAAAATCTTGCTCTCTAATGCTGCAGAGCAACACTTGGTGCTGCTGAGACCAAGCAAATTATGAGCAGCTCCTCTGATTCTCTCAGTTTTAATGTTAGGGCAGATGATTACCCCTAAAGTCCACTAGGGAAACTCCAAACTGCTTAGCTAAGCTAGATGTAAGTCTCGGGCATGTGGCTGGCATAGCAAAACCCAAAAATCAGGAATAAACCTTTCCCCCGTTTTTTCCTTAATAATATTTTTCTACCATTTGGATCACCTGGTGCATTACAGAGGTGGCATTTGTGTTATAGCACTTCCCTCCCTGGCAACTGATAGGACATTTTTCTTCAGCTGCCTGTGTTCTTGAAATTTGTAGAAACTGCTTCTGAGACACGATGGACACCCTCTGTTAAATTTAATTTAAATTTGCTGGCAGTTTTGTGGAGGAATAGAGAGTGCATCCTCTTGGTACTATTATTCTTCCTTCTCCAAATACCAGTGGGAGAACAGCGGGTTACAAGTTCTAATCAAAACACCAAGGGAAACAATTCCACAGCTGCTTGGGATATTTCACTGTTTTGAGTAAAAGTACCAGTCAAGCAATGAATATACTTTATCTGTCTTTGCACAATATTTACATTCTTATGCCTCCAGAGGCTGCTGCTGGGATTATTGGCTCCATGTGCTCAGGGCCATTGCTGGGGCAGCCCTAGGGAATTGTACAGTCACCATAACCCTGCCATGGGATTGCAGTTCCCTCGTTCAGTTTTGTCTGCTAGGGTTTTTTTAAATTCTTTTAATGTGAAACAGAGACATGAATCTCTGTACTTCTTTTCTTCTGTTACGTGGCTGGTGCCTTTTTGAGACTGAATTTGTCTCAAAAATGAATCTAAACCCAGATAAAAAGCCGTGGTCTGGCTTTCTGTTTGCAATGTTGTGCATCTCTCTGAATTTTGTACGAAAATAATTGAAAATCTTAATTGGCCCATGACCTAATAGGCTATTCAAAAGCATGCACACACACATGCACAAAAGGTGAGGGTAAAATTTAGCAACAGAAAGCTTTTTGTAGACTGGTAAAATATGAAAATTTGTTATTCCATTTAAAAACAAAAAACCTCAAAAAACCCCAAAAACCCAAACAAACACAAAACCCAAACAAAAGCAAGCACACAAACAAACAAAAAACAACTAATTGCAGAATTTAAACCCAGGAAATTTTGGTTCAAGCTCCACCAGAACCTCGGAGCCAGTTTATTTAGCTTCACTGAATTCCATGAAATCTATTAAAACTGTTTTTAAAAGATAAAGCCAAAATAGCTCTGACAGGGGATTCTGTAAATCCAAACTCTTAATTTCTGTCCCAGTGGTGTGGAACACTTCAACACTCTGGGCTTTTCAAAATGTCTCTGGGCAAAGGAAGAATAAAATAAGCTGCACCTCCCCACTGGTATGTCTCAGCAACCCAGCCAAAACTCAGGTTTCTGGTAAGGTTACAGCTGGGCCAGCTCTAGTTTTGGGTTTAAAAGGAGCTGGGCTAATTCCCTTAATCTCTCTGTGGCTTTGATGGCAACACATACTGAACTTTTTCACAGGGAAACACTCAATCAAACATACTGGACCTGTTTCAAAGGACACAATGTTTTCTGTACTTCCAGAGGGAAGATTTATTTTATCTTGGCCAATATTTGTCTCTGGAGTCAGTGACCCTTCTTTCTCCACCTCATCTGAAGTGAGTCACCGGCTGTGAATCCAGGCAGGGCACGCAGACTTCCCAAGGCCAGCCCCAGCACAGTGCCCAGCAAGGCAAGGAGCATTTGTGGAACAGTGGCCAAAGGTGCCGTGGGAGCGGGAGCGGGTTCTCAGGGAGCCCAAGGCTCAGGCAATGAACCTGGCACAGCACTGAAGCCTTCATGGAAGAGCAGCTCCCTCTGCTCCCCCAGCCACCAAACCAGCTGTGAACACACTCTGGCACTGGCAAGCCCTTGTTCCTCAAATAAACCGCGTGCCCTGGCAAAGCAGGCAGCACCTCGCATCTTCCGCAGCGGCTGCGGGGGCCCTGAGCTGAGCAGGGCAAGGGGCACCTTCTGTTCCACTGGGAGATGTGCTGGGAGGCACAGGCACTGTGCAACAAACTCCCCTTGCTACTTCTCCTGATATAAAATGCTTTCTGGGCTGGAATTCCCTCCCTGAGGGCCTCTCCTTAAAGCTGCTGCAGGATGAGGCAGTAACCACTCAGGCTTCCTGCACTGTGGCTGTGTAACAGGACCCGTGTTCAGTTATCTGCACAGGTCTGGGCACCAGAACACTCCGGAGGCTTTTCCCAGCCTCATCCCCATTGCCATACTCTGTTAGGAGGCTCCCAGGACCTTTAACAAACTGGCACTTAGACTCCTCTCTCTGAAAGGAGAAACAGATCAGAAGGCTCACCTCCAGCAGAGATGGTAAACCATGTTGCTGTGTCATTTCTGCCGTGCAAGAAGGGCATGTGACAGAATCCCTCTGCTGTGCCCACAGACTCCATCGTCATCGCCTTCTGGGTGGGCCTCGCTGCCTTCGTGACTTTTCTTTTCCTTATTCTGCTGTGTATGTCCTGCTCTGGATCCACGCCAGCAAAGTGAGTACAACCTGAGATAAAGTGAGTACAACCTGAGATAAAGTGAGTATAACCAGAGGCAAAGTGAGTATAACCAGAGATATAGTGAGTATAACCAGAGGCAAAGTGAGTATAACCAGAGATATAGTGAGTATAACCAGAGGCAAAGTGAGTATAACCAGAGATAAAGTGAGTATAACCAGAGATAAAGTGAGTATAACCAGAGGCAAAGTGAGTATAACCAGAGATAAAGTGAGTACAACCAGAGGCAAAGTGAGTATAACCAGAGATAAAGTGAGTAGATACTGGCATGAAAAAATAGCCTGTGGGAAACATGCACTGCCTCCAGTGATCCAGCACTGACACAGAACGTTTATAACTGCTCAGAGGTGAAACTTCTTCTGTCAGTATTTGGTTGGAGAGCCTCTTGACCCACTGCTCCTCCTAAGGCATTTGCCCACTGCTCCTCCTTTTCTGATCAGGAAAATTCAGCTCAGCAGGCTGGGCAGAGATTCAGGATTAGGTCACAAACAAGCAGAGGGAAACAGTGGTCAGAAGGAGCACTAATAGTCTCATTTATTGGCACCCTAGGGCCTCTGGCATGCTCACAAAAGGTAAAAAAAACAGTAACAAAAAGGCAGATTACCCAAATAAACCACAAAGCAGGAGGCAGACTAACAACACAACAGACATAGAAATGGACATGAAATTGCAGGGTAACAGAGGCATGTTACCAACAATTTACTGTTCCTAAAAAACTGGCAGGAGAAGTCTGTGTACATGAAAATCTCAGAGTGCTTGCAAGACTTAAACAAAGCATTGATTTTTAAAGTTTTTTTCACTTTTTCATCATGTTACTGAGCAAAATACTTGGCTTTAAAATACACATATTTATCCCTCATGTATTCAAATTTGGCCATCAAAGGAGGTGTTGTGAACAAGGCAAGTCTAGAAATGTTTTCTGGAGTGCCCAGAAATCATTAATGAAAAACAGCACTCAATGAGATTTGTTTAGGCTTTGAAACCATCCTATGTTATCATTTTCCTAGGCTTGAAACATACTGCGAGAAAATAATTTAAGGACTGAGGAAACTATTAAACCCACTCACACACAAGACTTGCCCTTTTTGGTTGAATTCTGTTTGTTTTCTAAGCCCCATTCAATTCCACTTCTCCCAATTCCAGCACCAAAACCCAGTGAAGTGCTGGAAAGAAGCCACTAGTGTGAACTTGCCCTGCCCTGTCATCCCCTGTGCTGTGTCACCCTCCCACCGCCCTTGGCATGACAATCATCCAGTGTCTGTATGGAAACCTCACGTCTCTTTCCTGGTGACAATCCCGGTACACTCACCCAGCAAACGCCTGCTCACGTCACCGGTCAAGGCTGGAGAACTTTCACCTTCATCCTTTCTGTGCTCATCCGTGTCTGCCGAGCCCAGGGACGGGCAGGATCCCTGTGCTCCCCAGCCCAGCCACGTCCTGGAGACAGGAGGCAGCTGCTCTGGGCGCCCTGGGCCAGGGCCTGTCCACATCCACAGGGAACAATTCCTGCCCAATATCCCATCCAGCCCTGCCCTCTGGCAGTGGGAGCCATTCCCTGTGTCCTGTCCCTCCGTGCCTTGTCCCCAGTCCCTCCCCAGCTCTCCTGGAGCCCCTTCAGGCCCTGCCAGTGCTCTGAGCTCTCCCTGGAGCCTTCTCCTCTCCAGGTGAGCACCCCCAGCTCTGCCAGCCTGGCTCCAGCCTGGAGCAGCTCCGGGGCCTCCTCTGCGCTTGTTCCAACAGCTCCACATATTTCTTGTGCTGGACGCCAGGGCTGGGGCCGCTCTGCAGGTGGGGTCTCACCTGAGTGGGAAGAGGGGCAGAATCCCCCCCACCTCTTTGGATGCAGCGTTGATGCAATTTTGGCTATGCATGACACCCATCTCCTCCCCTGGAGCGTAACACCAAGGGTTAACTCCAGAGCAGAGTGCCTGGCTCTCACCTGCACATCTGCACAGAAACCAGTCCCTGCCAGGTCCCCGAAAGGCCACAGCTCTCCTCACTCAGGCACAGTGAATCCTGAGGCACGGAGAGCTCCTGGACGTGAATCCACGGTCTGATTGCAGCACACACTTCCCTGCAATCCCCAAGGGTTTGGTGCCAGTTTCGGTGGGTGAGTTTGGGAGAGTGGGGCAGGCTGATGCCTGCACAAGCCCTGCAGGGGGGATCCATGTCCCAGTCCCTTTTGTCAGCACTGCACCGTCCCACAGAAATACGACAGAAGGTCTGGAGCATGGCACCACTGATTTCAAACGCATCTGCCTGCCAAGGCAGCTGATGACCACTCTGCTGGGATGGAGAGCGTTAACATTTGTTTCAATGGTGTGTATAAACATCCAAAATGAAAGACTTTTCCAGCTACATCTTATCTCAGCTTTAGTTCTGCGACTTTGCCTGGGCCGGGTCAGTGGCAGCACTGCCTAAGAGTGACCTGGCCTGACCTGGTGGGTCTTTGGGTACTGGGACACTGGAACTCTTCCAGCCTCCTCCAACCTCTCTGCTGTTCTGGGGTGCTTAACAATGAACAGAGCTGGCTGGAGCTCTCCTCAGACAGTCACAGGTCTGAGGGATGCAAGTTCTCTCCCTGATTTTAAAGTATGGATAGCTAGCTGGTGGTTTTGGCTGCTTGATAGACAGGAAAGAAAACATCCTGTTTTGGTAAGAATTTTTCTTTTTGTCTTTCTTCTGTCAAACAAAGAGGAAAGATGTCTTGAATACACCAGCAGCATAGGAAAGAAAATTCCAAACCTACCTTCCTGTGCTGGGCCTGCTGCTGAGACTTTGCGGCTTTGTTTCTGCTTTTTGAAGTGCTCAGCTCGGTTCGGCGGAGCTCGGAGCCGCTCTCTCCGTTCGGAGCAGCTCGGCTCGGTTCGGCGGAGCTCGGAGCCGCTCTCTCCGTTCGGAGCAGCTCGGCTCGGCTCGGCTGAACTCGGAGCCACCCGCTCTGTACGGCTCGGCTCGGCTCAGCTGAACTCGGAGCCGCCCGCTCTGTACGGCTGAGCTCGGCTCCGTTCGGCTGAACTCGGAGCCGCTCGCTCCGTTCGGCTCGGCTCCCTGAGGGCGGCGCGGGCCGGGCCGAGGCGCCGCCGGGAAAGCGGCACCGCCTCACGTTAAACACACCAAGATCGATGCTGTCCTGCTGCCGTGTCCCGCGGGCGGCCCGGCCATCGCCCTGTGGGGAAAATTCATCCGCAAACACCATAGGTTTATGTCCAGAAGGAGACACAGGAGTCCTGTAACTTTATTTGCATAAAGGGAGAGGCCATGGGCATTTCCCACGGGGTCTCAGGATGCTGGAGGACGCAGCTTCCTTTTTATCCTAATTTATCGGACACATTTCTCTCTGTCTTCCCCATCGGCTGAGGTACTTGAGAGGTACAAGGTTCCCAAATTTCCTAATACAGACGGCCTTCTGATGTGCATCCCCCCTTCTTCTTCTTTGTGTCTGTGTTCTTTTTCTTCAAATCCAGGAATTCAGCACGGGCTTGGGTGAGCAGCAGTCTCTGTCAATTAATGGAATTCCTCTGGAATTCACGGTTCTACTAATTATTTCTTTCACCTGTCAGTGTCTGGGTTTGTCTACCAGCAGACCCGCAGTTTGTTTGTAAAGACACCTCCTTCTCATTCCTTCCAGCACGGCCACGAACGGGAGCGCGGGGTCGGGCAGGAGCTCATTAGGCAGTGACTGCACTCGCGCTAATTAATGGGCGCGAGAGCACCAGGGCAGATCCTGGTGCAAGGATGGAGCGCTTGCCAGCGGAATCTGTTGGAATCACTCTGCGATCCCAGCGGTTCGAAGTTTGGGAATGCTGCGGGACATGCTCAAGGCGTCAGTAATGTTTTTTCAAAGAAACCCACCACGGAGTGGTGGAAGAAAACAATAAACAATAAATATTGCCTATTTACTGACAGTGTCTTTGCCTTTTGTGATGTTGGCCGGCTCCACGGGGGTAAATTAACTTCAGGAGGAGCTTTTGCTGCTGTTCTTGCTCGTGTGTTGGAATACAGCAGAGTCCTTGTCACTTTACACCTCCGGAAACACAAATTCAGCAGAATTTCAGTTCGCCTGAGCTCGGATCGGTACAGTTGGATCCGCCTCGGTTCGCCATATTTCGGCTAGATTCGGCAGAAGTCGGTTAGGCTCGGCGAAACTCGGAGCCGCTCGCTCCGTCCGGCTCGGCTCGGCTCGGCTGAACTCGGAGCCACCCGCTCTGTACGGCTGAGCTCGGCTCGGCGAAACTCGGAGCCGCTCGCTCCGCTCGGAGCAGCTCGGCTCGGCTGAACTCGGAGCCACCCGCTCTGTACGGCTGAGCTCGGCTCGGCGAAACTCGGAGCCGCTCGCTCCGCTCGGAGCAGCTCGGCTCGGCTGAACTCGGAGCCACCCGCTCTGTACGGCTGAGCTCGGCTCAGCTGAACTCGGAGCCGCCCGCTCTGTACGGCTGAGCTCGGCTCGGCGAAACTCGGAGCCGCTCGCTCCGTTTGGCTCGGCTCCGTTCGGCTGAACTCGGAGCCGCTCGCTCCGTTCGGCTCGGCTCCCTGAGGGCGGCGCGGGCCGGGCCGAGGCGCCGCCGGGAAAGCGGCACCGCCTCACGTTAAACACACCAAGATCGATGCTGTCCTGCTGCCGTGTCCCGCGGGCGGCCCGGCCATCGCCCTGTGGGGAAAATTCATCCGCAAACACCATAGGTTTATGTCCAGAAGGAGACACAGGAGTCCTGTAACTTTATTTGCATAAAGGGAGAGGCCATGGGCATTTCCCACGGGGTCTCAGGATGCTGGAGGACGCAGTTTCCTTTTTATCCTAATTTATCGGACACATTTCTCTCTGTCTTCCCCATCGGCTGAGGTACTTGAGAGGTACAAGGTTCCCAAATTTCCTAATACAGACGGCCTTCTGATGTGCATCCCCCCCTTCTTCTTCTTTGTGTCTGTGTTCTTTTTCTTCAAATCCAGGAATTCAGCACGGGCTTGGGTGAGCAGCAGTCTCTGTCAATTAGTGGAATTCCTCTGGAATTTACGGTTCTACTAATTATTTCTTTCACCTGTCAGTGTCTGGGTTTGTCTACCAGCAGACCCGCAGTTTGTTTGTAAAGACACCTCCTTCTCATTCCTTCCAGCACGGCCACGAACGGGAGCGCGGGGTCGGGCAGGAGCTCATTAGGCAGTGACTGCACTCGCGCTAATTAATGGGCGCGAGAGCACCAGGGCAGATCCTGGTGCAAGGATGGAGCGCTTGCCAGCGGAATCTGTTGGAATCACTCTGCGATCCCAGCGGTTCGAAGTTTGGGAATGCTGCGGGACATGCTCAAGGCGTCAGTAATGTTTTTTCAAAGAAACCCACCACGGAGTGGTGGAAGAAAACAATAAACAATAAATATTGCCTATTTACTGACAGTGTCTTTGCCTTTTGTGATGTTGGCCGGCTCCACGGGGGTAAACTAACTTCAGGAGGAGCTTTTGCTGCTGTTCTTGCTCGTGTGTTGGAATACAGCAGAGTCCTTGTCACTTTACACCTCCGGAAACACAAATTCAGCAGAATTTCAGTTCGCCTGAGCTCGGATCGGTACAGTTGGATCCGCCTCGGTTCGCCATATTTCGGCTAGATTCGGCAGAAGTCGGTTAGGCTCGGCGAAACTCGGAGCCGCTCGCTCCGTTTGGCTCGGCTCCGTTCGGCTGAACTCGGAGCCGCTCGCTCCGTTCGGCTCGGCTCCCTGAGGGCGGCGCGGGCCGGGCCGAGGCGCCGCCGGGCAAGCGGCACCGCCTCACGTTAAACACGCAAAGCTCGGTGCTCCCCAGCTGCCGTGTCCCGCGGGCTGCCCGACCCCCGCACGGACACGGACGGCAGCACGGGAGTCGGGCAGGAGCTGATTAGGCAGTGACTGCACTCGCGCTAATTAATGGGCACGAGAGCACGCGGCCGGGTTCGGCGGCGCTCTGTTCGGTTCAGCCAGCCTTGTGAGGTTCGCCTCGGTTCGGTCGAAGTCGTAAGGTTCGGCTGGTCTCGCCTTGGTTCGGCTGAGCTCGTTCGATTCGGCTGAAGGCGGCCACGTTCGGATCTGTTCAGTTAAACTCGGCTAGATTCGGCTTCGTTCGGCTCTTCGGCGCAACTCGGCTCGGTTCGGCTAAATTCCGTCATATTCGGCTCTTCGGCTAAACTCGGCTGTTATCGGCTACATCCGTCTGTCACCGGCTCTTCGGCTAAACTCGTCTAAACTCGGCTATTTTCGGCTCTTCGGCTAAACTCGGGCATTATCGGCTGAACTCGACTCTTCGGCTCAGCTCGGGCAATATCGGCTAAATCCGGCTATCATCGGCTCTTCGGCTAAAC